GGCCCCGGAATACAGGAGTAACAGGCTCTGCAACTGATCAGCCAGCGACAGTAGCAACGGACCCACGGGCGACAGGTGCAACCGGCTCTCTGAGCTACCGGGAGAAGAAAGGCCCCGGAATACAGGTGCTGCGGACGACACGACGGCAACCTCCGCTCAACCTCCTCCAACTGCCCCACACACCCCTCGACACACACCCCCTGCTGAACCCTAGCTCCACTCCCACGGTACCCCCCTTAAACCCCAAACCCTAGGCTCCCACACACCACCCCCCTCAGTGGCAGCTGTAGCAGAGGGAGACTAGGGAGGAGGAGGAGGAGCAGGGAACGGCACTCAGTGGCTTCACCCCCATACCCCTCACCCCCAAACCCTAATTCAGGAGAACGGGCTGTAGGAGGGGTAGGGCGCCAGTAGAAGCACGGGGGACAGTGGGGAGGGCAGGTGCAGCGAGGAACGGGCCGCCCACGGGCCTGGCACAGCCGCCCGAACCGCGCGCAGGCGGCCCGAGCCGCGCGCGGGCCTGGCGCTTCCCGTACGGGCCGCGCGCGGGCCTGGCGCAGCCCGTACGGGCCGCGCGCGGGCCTGGCGCAGCCCGTACGGGCCGCGCGCGGGCCTGGCGCAGCCCGTACGGGCCGCGCGCGGGCCTGGCGCAGCCCGTACGGGCCGCGCGCCGGCTGTACGGGCCGCGCGCAGGCCACGACGGGCGACGGGGGGGCGATTCGACGGTGGGGGGGTGCGCGCGGGTCCCCGGAGGCGACGCGAGGGTCGACGGGGGCGACGCGACGTGCAGGGTGGGGGCCGCGAGTGCTCCCCAGGGCGCCGCGACGGACGGGCGGGGTGCGCGCGGGCTCCCCCACGGCTGGAAACCGCCGCGCGCCTCGGCGCGCACGGCGGGCAGGGAACCGCCGCGCGCCCCGAGCGCGCGGCGGGATGAAAAATTGAAGGCCGCGCGCCACGGGGCGCGCAGCACAGAGTAGGGCAGCGGAAGCAGTAGTGGGGCCCACAGGCCAAGAGCGTAACCGCTCTGATAGCATGTCGGAATAGTAGGTATAGTGAGAGGCCATAGCTAGGAGAACCCTAGCTAGGCAAGAGAGAATTGAACGGAAGAGGGGTTTTGCACTAGCAACAACGGTGGTACAAATAGCTAACCCTAGAAGGGCTGTACTCGCTATAGAGCACCCCACTGCAGGCTAGAGCATAATATTCTGACACGCACGAGTTCATGAAGCTGCTCTACCCGCTTGTGAAGTGGAAGGGCAGCCAGCGGTGGTCGGAACGGTTTCGGAAGCGGTGGAATCTGAGCGTCCGCATGAAGACGCGCGTCGCCCAGAAAACTGCAGCCCGTAAGTCTTAACCGTGTATCAAGCCTATGGGTCGTTCCAGTTCATGTATACTGACGCATCTTCTTTATTTGCCTCGTTTTTTTACAGATGTCGCGGAGATGTGCCGCAAGTTTTGGCAGTACGTGCGTGATAGGCGGCGTGAGCGCGGCATCGAGACTACGTGGATCATCAACGCCGACCAGACGCCGCTGTGGCTGGAGATGCCCGCCACCACCACCGTGGAACAGACAGGCGTGCGGTCGGTGCCCATCCGGAGTGCGGGATACCAGAAGGAGCGCGTCACCGTGATGCTGGCGTGCACGGCGGATGGGGAGAAACTCAAACCGTGGGTTGTTTTCAAGCGCAAGACAGTGCCGAAGGGAGATTTCCCGCCCGGTAAGAAATTGCACTTTAAATGGGTTGATTCGTTGCTTTACTAAATCGTCGCTAACCACCCTGCCCGTGTATCATTGTGCAGATGTCGTCGTCGCCTGCCACGAGAACGGGTGGATGGACGCCGAAGGCGTCATCCGATGGCTGGAGGAGTGCGTCCAACCGTTTCTTAGGCCTCGATTCGGCAGGCAGGCGAGGAGCGCGATGGTGGTCCTCGACTCCTACCGCGGTCACCTCACCCAAGGGGTCAAGGACAAGTTCGCCGAGCTCAACATCGTGCCGGCGGTGATCCCGGCAGGCTGTACGGCGGAGATTCAGCCGCTGGACGTCTCTATCAACAAGTCGTTCAAGGCCTCCGTCCGCCAGCAGTACCAGAAGTGGTTTGAAGACGAAGGCCAAGAGCGACTGACAGCAGCAGGTAAGCTTACATAGAAGAACTACAGTCGTTCCTTGACATGCTCTCGTGAACCGTTTATTAAAACTGACGAGAGTGATGTGTCTCTGCCTGTTGGTGCAGGGAACCTCAAGAAGCCGCCTCCTGCGGTGGTAGTGAAGTGGATCTCGCGGGCATGGAAGGCAGTGCCCGCGGACCTCATCAAGCGCGCCTTCCTCACCTGTGGCATCAGCAACGCTCTTGACGGCAGCGAGGACTCGCTTGCCATGGCGCACAGGCGAAGCCAGCTGACTCGTGAAGTCGATGTCGATGACGACATCATCGCTGACGGCTTCTTTGGCAACAACTGCCAGGAGCCCGAGTCTGACGAGGAGGAGTAGGTAGCTAGGCTGTAGTCGGACTTGAGTAGCTGGTTCAACCTGAGTAGGCTGTTGTGTATGAACCTTGAAATTGATAGGGTGAAACAACTCTTGTTAGGAATTGTTTAAAAAATGTAATGTTCTGTGAAATTAGAATGATAAGTAGATAACAGACTTTGCACATGCGCTTATAATAAGTTCAGACCTGAAAAGGGGTGCGCTTCTAATCGAGGATCCTCTATAAGCGCCATGCTCCAGATAGAAGCGCCGGCGCCTTTAATCGGACGGCGCTTATATCCGGGGCCATACGGTAGCATAAAATCCCTGCTGTGTGGTTTCATAATCAATCAATTCCATTTCTCTTATTATGCTTCCAACCATTTCAATGCAAGTTTACAAGCCTTGTTTTTCTACAATCTAGCTTCCGCAACGTCAGCATCATGCCTTTCTAGCATGGTATCAGAGCAACTCTAGGGGGCATGCTGCCGAAATTTCGTCAGAACTCTTATTATCTACATTGGTTAAGCAGATTAGCAACCCTGCAAAGCAAGTGGCAACATTTGGTGTGAAGTCATGGCACGGTTCGACGAGGAAGTTGATGCTGGATACGAGGCGTTCGAAGAAGCAATCTTGGCTCAGCATGAGCACCTGGAAAACATGATCGCAAGGGCACTACCGACACTCCAAGCATCATTGAGAGCAAGATTCAACATGGCAACCCAAGTTCGAGATTCCAACAACCCATCCATCCGTGGACAGTCACATGCAAGCACTCCGCGTGCTAACCAAACCCGCGCTTCAAATGTGGATGCAGGAATTGAAGGTGAAGGGGAAGGAAGCCTACCCCAAGGAGGAGAGTCATCCCAAGGGAGGGATGCATCCTTCCAAGGAGAGGGGAGCTCCCACCCCGAACCTCAGTCAACCATGCAAAGGGAAGCAACGGGGAGAGATGATGAGTACGGGAGTGGAAGGGATGTGAGAGAACATGGTGATGGGATTGATGTGGGAAGAGATATGAGAAGGCAGATGGGTGAAGGGAGCGGCAGAAGCAGTCATGTGGGCATGGAGGGTGTGGGATTCGAATCTTACACTATTGGTGCTCCCCCACTACGCCGACTTGCCACTAACTCCCATCCCATTGGAGTTCCCAAAATGGGCAGATCTCACCTTTATGGCAACATCGTACCTCCTCGTGCGCAATGGTCTCAACCGGAAGTTGTACCTGCAGGAAGCATTGGACGCATGGGGCACGGGATGCAATCAAGTGGAGTTATGCGACGTGACCAAGTGGAGGTGGTGGAACGTGAAGGCACACAACGCACGGTGCAACTACCTCGACCATCTACCGTGCCTACGCTCTTCGACCCGTCTCCTCGCGAGTACACCGAAGAAGACAAAGACAGACTGTCACGCAAGATGGTGGGAGCAGTGGTGGACAAGGCGTTCACAACAACACCGTTTGACGGTACCAACTTTCGAGAGTGGGCTCTTCGATTTCGCATGAACGCGCGCGTGACAAATCTGTGGGAGTTTTTCGTGACACTACAATACCCAGTGACAATGGCGAATGGAGAAATGCGAGATGCAATAGAACGGCTGGAAGCTCTGCAAGCAGATTACTCACAACGCGCTACGCTGGCGTTTTGGGTGCTTCTACATAGCGTGAGCGCAACGATTCAACTACAGCTGGACGTGTTCCAAGAGTCATACAGTCCGGCATTCGAAGCATGGGAGTACCTGATGGAGACTTACCGGGCGAAGGATTCGGTGGCAAAGGCGTCTCTCCAGAGGCAATTGGACAACCTGAAGATGGGGAGCCAAGAAAGGGTAGAGGAATACATCAACCGGGCAACTGCAATTCGGGACAATTTGGCGATGGCAGGAAAACTGGTGGACGAAGATTCATTCACCTTGAACCTGATTACCGAGCTACCGCCGCATTGGGAGGAGCTAAGGCATTCGGCAATGCTACACGACATCTCGGACAGCTACACACTGCAACGAATGATGATTCAGGAACAACGCTACCAAGACCTCATTAGCAAGACCAACCGTGACAAACGTCCTCCCCGCATGGCTGGTCAAGCACGCGGAGATACTTCGCCAGCAAAGGAGAGGACCGAGACAAAGGGCAACCAAAATCCGGCAACGGGAGGAAAGCATGCGACGGTGGGGGAAAAATCCAAAGGCAACGAAGGAAGGGGAGGGCGCTCGAACCTTGTGTGTTGGTACTGCAAGGAACCTGGCCACCCGTTCTACAAGTGTCCTAAGGCGCCTCCGGGTTGGTCACCACCAGGTTGGGAACCACAAAACAGAGGAAGGACAAACCAGCGCAACTGGAGTAGCCGTTCGTCTTCGCCTCGAAGGAGTGAAAGCCCGAAACGAGACAGCCAAGCGTCAAAACAGCAAAGAGCAGCCGGGGGAGACAACAAACGAACCGTCACATGCATTGCAACGGTTCGGTCGTCACAAGCAACATTACCATCAACCGGAGGGTCGATGTGGTTGCTGGACAGTGGATGCAGCCAACACATGACTTCAGAAAAGGAGTGGTTTGAGGGTCTAGAAGAGCTGAACGAACCTGTTTACGTGGAGCTTGCTGACGGTAGCAACCTGTTGAGCTCGATGGCGGGAACAATCCGAGCAACGGCACCCAATGGAACAACAGTGCGCTACACGGACGTGCTCTACGTACCCGGCTTGAAGTCCAACCTGCTCTCCTATTGCCAACTGTACAAGAAGGGAGCTCGCATTCACACACGTGAGGATGGACACACGGAGATCACAATGGCGGATGGAGATGAGCATGTTCTTATTGGAGTTGGAATGATCATGCATGGGGTGCTAATGGTGCAATATGAGCCTGCACTTGCATCCGCCCATGAATCTGGTCATGATCATCCGAATGAAGCATCGAATGAGACTGATCCTGGAGGGTTGAATGTGCAATCTGCTCATGCATCCATCACATATCGCATGGCCCACAAGCGCTTGGGTCACCCATCATACACATCCATGGACGCAACATTCCGCAATGGAGATGTTGAAGGACTCTCCATATCCGACAAGACAAACCCACTCAAACCCCCGTGTGACTCATGTCTTCGAGGGAAGATGAGTAAGGCCCCATTTCCCACAGGTGGCGACAAACGCACAACTCGACCCTTGGAGCTCGTGCATAGCGACATTATGGACTTGAGTGACGCTCACCCCTCACTTCGCTATGTGCTGACGCTCAAGGACGACTACACCAACTACCTGTGGGTGGCGTCGTTGACTCGCCGATCCGACATGGCAGCTGTTTTCTCTGCTTGGCATCGCGAGATGAAGGCCAAGTTGCCCACAACGCCGCTGGCTGCTTTACGCACGGACAACGGGGGGGAGTACACCGCAAATGCTTTCACGGATTACCTGAGCTCTCATGGCATCAGCCACCAAACGTCGCTACCACACACACCGCAGTAGAATGGAGTCGCGGAACGAGTCAACCGCACGCTCATGGATCGAGTGCGTGCAATGACCACCGGAGCCAGCCTCTCCTCTAAGTTCTGGCCTTACGCATTGGAGTATGCAGCATGGTTACACAACCGCCTCAGCTGCAGTATCCGCCCACTCACCATACTTCATGATGACGGGGAAGGCTGCAGATGTCTCCATGGCAAGGACCTTCGGATGCCTCTGCTACTATCTCCCTCCCCAAGGCAGCTTCGGGAAGTTTGAGCAACGAGGACGGGCCGGCATGTTTCTCGGCCTCTCTAACTCACGCAAGGCCTGGATCGTGCGGGACTTGGCAAGCGACGTTGACACCGACACACGCTCTGCTCGTTTCTTTGACGACCTCATGCTCCCGGACGCCAAGTCTCTGCTCAAACGCCAACGATACATGGATGAAGTCTCACCTCATATCTCGGAGTGGACTTCCGGGGGAGACGGCGTTAGGTCAGCATTCGACTCTTTTCCCGTATCCCACACTTCCTCCCCATCATCTTCTGACGCCGCTACAGCAGAACAACATGGACCTAAGGCAAATGACGGAGCTCAAGAAGACTCACCAGCAGCTCGTGAAGCTGATACAGGAGAAGAGACAACGACAAGTGACTTACCAGCGGCAGACATCTCTGTTTATGAAGGTGCTGACAACAACGAACCAAGAGATGAAGCAAGTCATCTCTACGACTTTGCCTACCCACCCGAGGGTATCACGCTGGTTGCTCCTGACGTGCCGCCACGGCGGGTTCACTTCAACCCAACGGTAACAGTGCTTGGAGAAGGACACGGGACGGACAACATGACAGGCCTGGACGTACTGTTTGGGAGGCGGCAGGCAGGACAAACAGTCACACGGTTTCCCAACTTGCAGCAGCAGAACGTACTGGGATGTGCAGCAACCGGCGTCCCCATGGTGGAACTGACATACAAAGAGCCAAAAACACTTCAAGAAATGACCAAGGACCCATACGCACCTCTTTGGCAAGCCGCTGTAGATGCAGAATTGGCCAAGTTTGATGAGCTGGACGCATACGAAGTGGTGGACAGAGCGGACATACTAAAAGGAACACCAGTGCTGACGGAAGGAGTTGTTTTACGGGTGAAACGAGATGAGCAAGGACAGCCAAACCGGTTCAAAGCGCGCTGGATGGTCAAGGGATGCGGACAGACCTGGGGGACATACGATGGGACGTATGCACCGGTCAGCCAAGGACCTACCTCTCGTGTGTTTGTTGCTGGAGCATCTACTACAAAGCGGAAAGTGGTGCAGCTGGACATCTTCAATGCATTCCTGTACGCTCCGATTGACCGGGACATATACGTGAGACCACCAGAACCAAGGCGGGATGGAGACAAAGTCTGGAAACTCAAAAGAAGTGTATATGGGCTGAAACAAGCACCACGCCTGTGGCATCAGCACTTACGGGGTGTCTTATTGGAGCTGGACATGGTGCAATCTGAATCAGACCCATCTCTGTTTATCTGGAAAAGAGACGGAAAGGACACGGTGTGGCTACTCACCTACGTTGACGACATCCTCATCCAGTCTCATGACGCAGAAGGCATTGAAGCTGTGATTCAAGAGTCAACCCAAAATCATGCGAAGACCTACTGCAATCAGTAACAAGAGCAGCCATCAGATGTTATGCTGGACAGTCGTTGCTGCTGGTTGGTCACAACCACTCGCCAACTGCATCGGCCGTTCCTCAGGACTTCTCATCTGCTGGTTTTAGGGGGAGAAGAATCAAGACAACATGAGTCAAGAACATTGTCCAAGACAAAAGGAAAACGGGCAGAGGGAATCAGAAGAAGATGACAAAGGCTTACTACAATACAAGGGAGGCAGCTGGAGTCAGGCGCTAATGGGAGTACTCACCCAGGTGACACATCTGCTGTTGATACTGCTGCCACCCAGTGCTGGAACTGCACCAGTGCAAGCGGCCAGCGCATCAGGAAAGTGCTGCAGGGCGTAAGGGGGAGCAGCTGCAGGAGACTAGGTGTTGCTGCTGCCATCATTCAGGTGGTGCTACCGGCAGACGTTTCCTGCAGCAGCCGCCAGGTGCAGAAGCAGCCGCCAGGTGCAGAAGCAGCCGCCAGGAGCAGAAGAGGAGCTTGTGTACCAGTTGCAGCTGCTTCCGTCCGCCATCTGGTATAGGGGGAGCAGCACAGGGCAACAGGGAGCAACATAGGGTCAACGGGAGCAACACAAGGTAACATCACAAAGTAACAGGGTAACATGGGTGAAACAGTCAAGTTTGACCAAGCATTCTCACCTCGGCAGGAAGGAGGAAAGCCGTGCACCGCCAGGAGTAGCAGCAGCTGTCCGCCAGGAGCCGCAGTCGCACGCTGCTGCTGTCATGATGCCGTGCGCCACAGGTGCTGGCGTGCGCCACCAGCAGCAGCAGCCGTACGCCACCAGCAGCAGCAGCCGTGCGCAATTCACTGCAGCTGTCACTGCAGCTGCCGTACGTCTGCCGTCCGCAGCCCCTGGCAGCAGGTGCACGTTGCTTCTGCCATCGTCGTCAGCTGCCGCCGCCGTTGTCAGTTACTGCTGCCACGACGCACATGCAACTGCAGATCCGCGGCCGTGTGGCACAAGAAACAGTCGCGCGACATCTGCAGCAGTCGCGCGACATTTGCAGCAGTCGCGCGACATTTGCAGCAGTCGCGCGACATTTGCAAGCAGTCGCGCGACATCTGCACCAACCGCGCGACCTTAGCAGCAGTCGCGCGACATTTGCAGCAGTCGCACGACATGAAGCTGCAGCAGTTATCCTAAGACTACGAGAGGGATTTCGCTTCAATGCTGCATATCACGATCCAAACCGCCGTGAAAATCGCCACAAGCTGCAGCAGCAGCCATGGCTACGATGGGAGGAGTTGACACGGCTGGGAAAGCAAATTGGATAGGGAGTAACAACTCACGAGCAGGGGAGCAGCAACACTCGATCGGAAGAGACGAGGTTTGGAGAGCGAAAATGCCACCCGTGGGAAGGACCCCCTTGAGAGGGATGCGCGGAACCGAAGCAGGAGAAGCAGCGTTCGGTGTGAGGAGATCGTTCGAAGGGACCACCTGCGCGTCGGAACGTGCAGTACAGCAATCGCCAGTTGCACGGAAATTCCAACACGACAAACCACCCCACTGTCCGCCGCGATCCCAACGGAAATATTCAACTACGTTCGGTTCGCCGTGATCAACGCTGCCATCACCCAAGGTGACTCCGAAATCAACGCCGTAACCCAAATTCACTCCGCAATCAACGGCGTTTACAGCAATCCCTCCAAAACCAGCTTCGGTAAAATCTACAGCAAGGGGGAGTGTTGAGAAATATAACATATAACGAAACATTTATGTCGTTAGATGTTACTGTAGTCCTCCTTATAAGACTTCAGGGCCTACAATAATTGTACAATTATTGTAGGGCTAGAATTATTGGAGTCTAGAGGTCTGGGGGTAGAATTATTGGTACTCCTTTCGTATTGGAGTCGCCATTATTGGTGGCACAATTATTGGTGTGGATGGATGGGTATGGGCAGGGTAGCTGATAACATAAAATCCCTGCTGTGTGGTTTCATAATCAATCAATTCCATTTCTCTTATTATGCTTCCAACCATTTCAGTGCAAGTTTACAAGCCTTGTTTTTCTACAATCTAGCTTCCGCAACGCCGGCATCATGCCTTTCTAGCATGAGGCATGCTCGAAAATCACTTAAATATACCAGCCCTTCATGCTGTAAAATCACTAGTACATTTTTTCTACTAGTGCTGCAAGTAATGAAGCATAGTGGAGCACGTGAGGCACCGTGCTTACCTTTACCGTGCATGTAATCGCTTAGTATTTCACTGCCATTACAACCAGGTGGTGTTATGTGAGGTACGGTAGAGCTACCCGCACGAATCAATCTTTGTAAGGGATGATGTTGCCAACATGTTTCTTGCAAGGATTAGTTCCAGCTTATACCGATACCGTGCATGAATCCCCCGTTCAGCATTAACAAAATATCAACAAAATGATTGGCACGTGAAAAGTATATGCAGCTAATAGCTACCACACAGTTGCCCAGGATTTCCGATCAGAATTGTGAAGCCAATTCGCTGCTGCTCATGTGCTATCGCCCATGATATGCTTACGTGTCATGTCCACCAGTTGTCATTACAGTACACGACAGAGCTGTGGTGGCAGTGAAGGATGAGGCAAATCTGCACCACAATCTGATTTCTCAACTAGCTGTCTGCACCGCAATCTGCAAACTCTGGATCCCCACATCAAATCTACTGTACCTGAACGTCTGCTCCCTCTGAAATTACTAGGAGGTTTCTCGGCTTGATTCCTGGGATGAATCTAGATGGCAAAGGATTTCCTTAAAATATATATATAAATATATTTTTAACTTGAATAGTAGTGTGCTAACAACTCACAGATGGTGTTTGCTCATTGTTTTACTGTACATGAGCTCTCTCGGGCAGTATATCCGCAACATCCTTTTTGAAACAAATCGACGGAACTAATGGGTTCTTGGGGCGCCCCCACTGTTACAGCACGGATGCACAGTGAATGGGCAGAACGACGAGACGACGCGTCTTGCGATGCCCCATCACCTCTTAATCAATCACGAAAGACACCACTTGCCGTTTTGTTGTAGGACCCCCATGTCTGTTTCGTACGTGTAGCCCACCCCTCTCTGTTCAGGCCGAGACTGTCCCATTCTCCGCGAGATCAGGGCCCAGAGAAAACTGCAGCTCCTCTAAACTAAGGACGCGTCACAATTGCAACACCGATCCTGTGTGAGATCGGCGTTTAAAATGTACAGTGTTTTCGTCAATTCGTAGAAGCTATGTTTCCCTTTTTCGTCGATGTTCGATTAACGAGACCTATCTTGTTGCCACGATAGTGCACTTTCCGATTGACGAGATAGGATGCCGCATCGATCATGCAATTGGCAACGTGGGAAAAGGAAATCGCGCCACCAGTGACGGGCACGATCGATCGCCGTCGCATACTTGCGGCCAGTTTCGATGGGGTAACTGGGCGACATCGCGAATTGTCTGTGAGCGAAATCTCTGCTTGGCGAATTCGTACGTCTCGCCAGCGAAGCAATGCGACGCGCTTGCTTCGGGGTGTACAAGTTGGCATTTTCGGTCCCCCACTTGCATTTCCAATCGTGTCCCAAGTGGCTCGGGGAAGCAGCCGAAACTGCTCACGCAGAATGAAACACGGTTTTTAAAAGCAAGCACACATATTCGGTGTTCGGTCCCGACCCTCCTCCGGTGCTGCAATTGTGACGCGTCCTGAATCTTCTGCCGTGTGACTTCTTTGCTGGATGTCAGCCGGGGGTTCACCCGCTTTGACGACACCCATGCCTTCTTGGAAACTTGGTCCAAGTTGGTTCATGACATCGGTTCCCTTCCATCACCGCAAGAATCCGGAATTTTGGGGACTGCGGTACCGAACCGATGCATACTTCAACACGGTTCATCACATCACATTCGAAAACGTTCGGATGCGGTCCTAGTGTCTCATGCATCGTGGTGGGGACCTATTCGATTGGTAAAGGGTGGTGAGAAATCTGCGAAACCTTGTGGTCGATTCCGCACACAAACCTGTTTTCCACAAAACCTGACTTCTGCACTACGTTCGTTTTAAGCCCATAAACCACTGTTCAGACTTGTGAGTCACGGTTCAAAGCGGTGGAGCAGAAAAACCAAACTTAATTTCGCAGAACCTTTCTTGACCTCAGAATTTGAACTAAAAGAGAACTCGACGGACACGCCCTCATTTTCGCCACTCAAAGGTCCCCCTAGCTTATTTGAATCCCTAGCATACTGCTGGCTTGCTTTAGTCTTTTTGTTCCCGCCCTCCCCGTCCAGAACATCTAAATGTGACGTCCTTCCGTTCCATCCCACACCATTTTCTTGAATATCGAATGTCACAGTCACGTTTGACGCTCACCGTAGCTCACTCGAAGAAATGCAGCCACCGTGCGCGGCGGGAGGTGGTCTCGCTTCGCCCAACGCTTCTTCGATCCAGCGCTTCGCGAATTGCACCGGCTGGGTCGAGCATGGGCCTTCCTTGCGACTCGTGCAAAGGGACAGCCCCCAAGCTCCGCAGTCAAGTTCGAGCCGTCACAGGCGGTCTGCGTCAACGTCGTGTCTCTCCTTCCCTGCCGCCGCATTCACCGCTTCGCTCGCCGCGGTTTCACCCATTAATTCGCCTGGAAAGAGGTCGCCTTTTCAACCGACGGCGCACCAAGCCTCTACTACACCACGAGGCCGCACCTCCCTCTGCGTATCGGCGTTCGCGTCATCGCGATGTGCTGACGAGGCTCTGGCCCATCTTGAATGCGACAGCGCCACGTCATTCGGTCAGTTTTCTCCGCGCGACCACGCGTTCAACACAGAATTGGGCGAGTTTTGTGCGACGCTCCGTCCGGCTGCGCTCTCCGTCGCTCGTGGCCGCCACCGTCGCACGCCGTCGGATTCAAGCCTTCTTGGTGCATCCTTTTGTGCGAGCTCTCTCCAGTCTCGCATTGTCGCCGAATCTGACCCGCAGTCTGTGTTGACTGGATTGACGAGGTCAACGCATTCAAGCGACTCGAGGGAGTCCCAAAGGTTGACCGAGTCAACGAAGCCGCAGCAAAGCGGCTCATCGCACCACCCTCCCTCCTCGGCGATGCAAGTTGACACCAAAAGCTTTCCTTCCCCGAAGCCTCAATCAATTTCGACGCCGGCGCAGCCAATGCAACCGATGCGTGTACAGCTTCCGCACCAGCCACCGCAATCGTCCACTGAAGCGCAAGAATTCACGCAGCCATTCGCACCGCCACATTTGGTGGAGCGTGTTAGTCATGCGCGAGCGACGACTCAACCCACACGCGCCGCAAATCGCGGGGTCTGGGGAGTGTCGAATGACGCCCCGCGTGTCTTCCTGCCCGCCACGTCGCACAGTCGCAGCAACAGCGGAGAGAGCAGCGAATGGGGGGAAGAGGCGGGCGGGGAGGACTTGGCGGAACAATACGAACTGATGCGCGCGTCCTCATCGTTTGACGACGCGCGTGCTTCGGCTGAGCTGGCATGCGATCCGAAGTGGATGGACGCGGCTCGGTGCAGAATTAGCAAAGCGGCTTTGCGCGTAGTGGAGACGCAGCAGGTGTTGATGGCGCTGGATGAGGATACGCGATATAACAGCTGCGATAAACGGGTTGTTCGCTCTAGTTTCTCATATGATCACCTAGCGACTACACCTCGCAAAGGCTTACGAATATCGCTGGATTCATCAGCAACAGGACCGTCGTTTAATTTGGGACACCGCTGGTTCGCATCGAAGCAAACGACACCCCCACCAACGTCTCAGATCTCAACCGCAGATTGGAACGATATCGACACTACTAATGAGAGCGGCTTTCCGTACCGATACACCGCCCCCGCTGCAGCACTCACAGCTGGTGCTCAACTGGAGAAGGGTGACAATAACGGGATGAGCAAGTCCCTGGAGCGGCGTGATTTCTATAAGCACAGATCGTTCCACGAACGTCCGACGGTAGTAGCTGTTCAGGCGCAACCCTCCCCCAGCGCCATGCGCCGAAACCTGTCCTTCCGCCAGTTGTCTTCCGCGTGGCACCGGAAAGACGGATCCACGTCATCGACGCCGCGAGCCACCGCCAGTGACGGGTTTGGGACCCCCGAGTGCACTACACCCAGTCATCCAGCTAAAACAAAGACATTCTTTCCAAGAATGCGGGAATCCAAATCGGTGGCGAATTTTGCCACGATGAGTGACAACATACGCGTTATAAGCAGCAGTGACAGCCCTTGCAGCAGCTTCAACAGCCCGACACCCAGCAGCAGTAGCAGCTACAGCTTCAACAAATACAGCCCCAGCAGCAGCAACGGCAGGGAGGTGAAGGAGAGCGAGAGCATGGAGAGGAGCAAGGGGAGTAGAATTAAGGCACTGGCAGGGATGGTGCCGGTGGTACCAAAGCAATCCCTAAGGCGCACGCTAAGCAGTGCTAAAGAAAGGCTGCAGCTCTTAGGAATCAGCAAGGGGAAGTGAGGCAGTCAAGAAAGTCGGTGACATGCTTGTATGGTACTTCTCATTGTCACACACTGGCATGTGTTGGAAATGCGCGTGCAATACTCAATCCCTGATTGTTTTGCAGCCCAGCTCATACAGTACAATGGCTCTTGTTTTCCTCATACGGTATATCACCCATTCCTGTCTCAGTCCTGAAGAGCTGCTCAGCACCACAGATGGCACATGCTGTTGGTTGGCAAGGCCACAGGAGCCCCATACAGCCAAGAGTTGACTAACTAACAAGAGAGAGCCAGAACAGGGGCGCCTCACAATGCAAACAAAATCTCCCTATTTCAAGCAGCAGAGAAATGCACACAAGAGTTGGTCCCACTGGCCGCCCTTGTTCCCCTCTGGTAGTATGCCATGGGAAAGCACCTGGAACAAGACTCGTCTTAGAAACATAGTTTGACAACTCGTCCTGCGATTGAAGGTAAAGATTTAGGTGGCGTACAAACTGCTATACATAATTTACAATACATTACGGATAGTTTTGACAGATGGACACACACGCACTGGGTGCATGTGTTGATGCGAGGAGATGCATGGTACGGCCCGCGCATGTGACTATGCTTGTGCAAGCAGATTCAAACTGACTCCGCAGCCAGGCTGAGCAGGTACGAGGACACCTCGTGCTGCAGCCACACGCACTGCTCCCGGGATGCGTTTTATGTCAAAGCGACCTGCTCAGCTGGTTGCAAGTCTCGTGTGGATAAACAGAATGCAATCAAACAGACTCCGCAGCCAGGCTGAGCAGGTACGAGGACACCTCGTGCTGCAGCCACACGCACTGCTCTCGGGATGCGTTTTATGTCAAAGCGACCTGCTCGCCTGGTTGCAAGTCTCATGTGGGTAAACAGAATGCAATCAAACAGACTCCGCAGCCAGGCTGAGCAGGTACGAGGACACCTCGTGCTGCAGCCACACGCACTGCTCTCGGGATGCGTTTTATGTCAAAGCGACCTGCTCGCCTGGTTGCAAGTCTCGTGTGGGTAAACAGAATGCAATCAAACAGACTCCGCTGCCAGGCTGAGCAGGTACGAGGACACCTCGTGCTGCAGCCACACGTTCTCCTCTTTGGACAGATGCCCACCAAAGTCAAGCTGCTTGCCGTCTGCTGCTGTGACCCGGCAGAAATATGTCGTGCTGAACCGCCTCTCCTGAGAAAGGGGAGGGGAAAGAGAGGAAGGGCAAGGAGGAGAGCGTAAGATAGGGACAGTTCCTCCCTGCTGCAGCCACATGCACTCCTCTTGGGACAGGTGCCCACCGAAGTCAAGCTGCTTGCCGTCTGCTGCTGTGACCCGACAAAAATACGTCGTGCTGAACCGCCTTCTCTGAAAGAGGGGAAGTGGTGAGGGGTGTGGGGCCAGGGGAGGTGATGCGAGGAGCTTACCCTAACGCAGAGGGAGACTAGCTGGAAGGACGTGGTGGGGATGTTGGTGTCAATGCTCCATCCGAACACCCCTCAACACCCCTCCGCACCCCTCAGCACCTCTCAACAACCCCCCCGCTCCTTCGAAGGCTCACAGAATGCTGACGGGCATTACCATTTTGCAGAAGGAGACGCGAACAATGGAAGCGGTGGGGATGATGGTGTGGATGATCCAATCTCAGCACACCTCAAAACCCCCCAACATCCCTCCCAAGGCTCACAGGAACTTACCATTTTGCAGAGGGAGACGCGAATGATGGATGCGGTGGGGATGGTGGTGTCAATGGTCCAATCAAACAGCTGCCACGTGTGCAGCAGCTGTGAGCCGTCGATTCGAATCGTGCGCACCGTGAACGCTGCACACACGCTCAGCACTGCCATGCTGACGTGGACGGGATGGAGGGGAGGGAGAAAGGAGGGGGGAACCTTTTGAGAGAGTTGTAGCAATACGCACCACAAAGTTCGAACCTTTGTGGTGCGAGGCGCACTTTAAGTTCGAACCTTAGTTGTGCCTTGCGCACCACAAAGGCAGAGCTCACGCTCAGAGCTGCCAGTCTGACGTGGATGGGATGGGTGGGGGGAGGTGCAGAAGGGAATGGGCGGGGCGGTTGTGGGGAGAAGGGTTTTGGGTTGGGGCAGGGGATTGTTAGCGTGGACGCACACACCGCGTTGCCAGTCTGACGCTGGTGGAAACGCGGGAAGGGGAGGAACGAGGGGGGAAAGGGTGGCGCAGGCGGAGGGAAGGGAGGGGAGGGAAGGGAGGGGAGGGAAGGGAGGGGAGGGAAGGGAGGGGAGGGAAGGGAGGGGAGGGAAGGGTGCAGACATCCCTTACCATATAAGGGGTGCCCATCTGGCGCTGATGCCGCTGCTGCTGGCTCCGGTGCCCTCACCGTCAAGCACCAGCAGCGGCGGCATCAGCGCCGAGAGAGCACCCCTTACCATATGCTTCCATATCCCTCGTCACTCCGTACCACCCCTCACCACCGTTCCCAAGGCTCAGAGTGTGCAGAGAGCAGAGACAACAGGCATTAAGGGCGGCAGGGGTGTTGGCTCCCCTGTGGGGTAACTATAATCAAGCATCAGCGGCAGCAGCAGTGGCATCAGCGCCAAGAGATTCCCCCCCCTTACCTCCCCTACCACCCCTCCCAGGACTCACTCACAGTGTGCAGAGAGCGGAGAGAACAGGCGTGAGGGGCGGAAGGGGTGTCGGCTCCCCCGTGTCCGCATCAGCATCGAGCATCAGAGGCAGCAGCAGCGGCATCAGGCCGAGGAAAGCAAAAAACTGCGCAGCGAGGAGAGACGGGAGGTGGGAGGTGTGGGACAGACAGGAGAAAGGCGTGGCTTGCAGAGGGATGAGAGTTAAAAGCTGTGCATGAAGGGGAGACAGGAGGTAGGAGAAAGGTGCTGGTCGGTCGGTACAAGGTGGGCTGTGGTGCGTTGATGCTTGTGGTACGAACAGCATTTTGAGAGCCGAGAAAAGCCTTTGAGTCGACTCAAAAGCCTGCTCCCCTCAGCTCAGCTGCTGGGAATCGCATCGATGAGCACAACGACTTTTGATTCTTTCTGTAGGCGCCTCGACGTCGCACCCATCTCACCCCTGTCGCACCCACCACACCCCTGTCGCACCCACCACACCCCTGTCGCACCCACCACACCCCTGTCGCACCCACCACACCCCTGTCGCACCCACCACACCCCTGTCGCACCCACCACACCCATCGCTCGTACCATAAAGCCCAGTGCCGCTTTGGCCGGCGGGAGGGGCGGGATGCGGATGAAGAGAGCTGAGCTGGTCCTCTCCAGTAGCTGGGGGGGGGGGGAGGAAGACAGAGAGAAGGGGATTGGGCGCAAGAGGGATTAGCTCACTGGAGGGGCGGGATGCGGATGAAGAGAGCGGAGCTGGTCCCCTCCCTAGCTGGGGAAAAGAATGGGGGAGGGGCAAGGGGGATTGGGCGCAGGGGGAGATGGGGATAGGGCGGAAGGGGGCAATGGGAATTAGCCCAATGGACCGGGGAGAGAAGGGGGGATTGGCGCACTGGAGGGGCGGCAGGCGGATGAAGAGAGCGGAGCTGGTCCTCTCCACTGGCTGGGGGGAGAGGGGAAAGGGGAAAGGCGGAGAGAGGGTAGGGGAGTTGGCGCAAGGGGGAAAAGGGAGAGGCAAGGGAGGGGGATTAGTAGTGAGGGGTGGCAGGCAGTTGAATAGGCGAGCAGGTCCACATCAGCAGCTGCGGGAAGTGGGCAAGGCGGAAAGCGGGGAGCGGCGGGTTATTATTACTCGCGCAGGCGCGCAGCAGGCTGGCTTAATAGGGATTGACCTTTCAGGCGCCTCATAAGACAGGCTGGCTTAGTAGGGATTGAGAATGGACCCTGAGTTGGTGGAAAATTATGCAATCAAGGACGGCATTCTAACAACGACACCACCCTTGGCCACCCCCTCCCCTCCTCTCTACATTCCCCGTTTCCCCCAGCCCTCCCCTCTTTCCCCCCCTTCCCCCCGCACCCCTCTCCCCACTCTTCCCCCCCTCTCCCCCACAAACCCCCGTAATGAGCGCACCACACGTGTGCCAGCGGGCATACTATCGCTCAGTGAGTGCGACGGCTCGATCAACGGCGCCTCCATCTCCCCCGCGACTGGCGCCGCAACTGACGCCGCGACTGGCGCCGCCTTTGGCGCTGTGGAATTCGGCCCCGGGGCCGCCGCCGCCGCATGCGGAGGAGCGAGCGCTATGGAGAAAGGGGCGGCGACTGACTTCGTATGACTTGCTGCTTCCGCCATTTCCACTCGCGATGACGGCGGTGGAGCGGGGGAACGCGAGGGGTGCGGTGGTGCGGTACGCGGAACGCGACTCGGGTAGCTTATCCAGTAGAATAGACGGAATGGATGGAGCAGGGCTGCGGCGAGCTGAAAAGGAGACCGCGAAGCACGATAGTGTGAATAGTGACACGCATGCGAGATTTAAAGAGCTAGCGTGACATTATATACATACGAGGAGAGAAGCGAAGGTTGGGGAAAGGGTAGGCGAGCAAGTATGGTGGGGGAACGACTTTGACCAACTTGACCCTCGAGAATGCCGTGCTGTATGCGCGATATCAGCAGCGCCACTTTCGTCATACACGAACCAATATTACTAGTGTTGTCATAAGATTCAAAAACAAGGAACAAACAACTCTAGTTCCTCGACACATCTGCAGTTCATAAAGACTCAAATCCGATGGTTAATATTCCAGCAATCACTAATTGCAAATAAAAAATCACACACCTTTCAGCATGCGCGTGTGAAAAGGGGCATCAAAGTGACAAAATAACTATGATATTTATGGGATGTTTGGGGACTTCTTGCAAGCTTTTCCGTAGAAAAACCTACAACCCTCAAAACCTAGGCCGTGTCAAATTATATATATGTGTTAGTGTTATCTAGACTGTAGTGGGGTAGCCCTTATGAGGTACAACCCAAAAGTTAGGGTTATACTTGTACCCTTGTTTCACTCAATCCAATCATCCCATTGCCTAGATTCTAAGATGGTATCAGAGCGGTAGGTCTTAGGACCTAAGTTCGGGCCCACCGGTTACTGCGTTACCTCACCTACAGCCGTGAGTGCCTTGCCTGCCTTGTCTTGCCTGCCTTGCCTGAGGCCTGCGTGCGGTAAGGGGTGCGCGGCGGCGGGCTGCGCAGCGACGGGCGGCGCACGGGCAGGGTCGCACTACTGGAGCCCGGGGCTCTACTGCTGGAGGTCCTTCTGCTGACGTCCCTGGAGCTAGGAGTGGTGCTGGTGCTTTGCCTACTGGAGGTGCTGGAGTCATCGGTCCCGGAGGTGCTCGTACTGGTGGTACTGGAGCTGCTGGGGCTGGGGGTGCTGCGTCTGGGGGTGCCGCTGCTGGGGACACTGCGACTGGAGACCCTGGGACTGGGGGTGCCGGTTCTGGGGGTGCTGCTGCTGGTGGCGCTGGTCCTGGAGGAGCTGACGCTGGGGGTGCTGGAGTTTCTGGCGGTACTGTGGCTGCTGGAGGTGCTGGAGCTACTGGTGCTGCTGGTACTGCACAGCCGCGACTGTTCTTCGCTCCGCCGTCTCCGTCGTCCCAGCCGCCCCCTGACTCTGTACTTCGCCAGGTTCTTAGTCTTCCGTCTTCTACTGGTCTTCCGTTACTGCCTGGCTCGCCGCTGCCTGCTCCCTCTCCTTACCCTGAGCAGTCAGGGGGCCTTACTGAGCGTCGTGAGCCTGCGTCGCGTCCTGTCTTCGTTCTGGCAGTTCCACTCGTCGTGTTCCGCGTCCGCGTCCGTCGCCTGTCCCAACCGCGCACTTGGTCGTCCGTCGTCCTTCCTCTGTTCCACAGTCTGTTCCTCTGCCGTCTCCTCCTGCGTCTTCCTTGCCTCACGTTCCGGACCCTGAGTCTGACCGGTTTCGTGCTGAGCACCCTACTGTCACGCGTCTGCTCGCCACTGTTGTCACTAACCCCTTGTTTGAGTCTGCTGCTGCGTCTGCTTTGGTTGCTGAGCTTGTTGACTTTGCGGCTGCCTGTCGTCTAGACTACGCTGCTAGCCTTGTTGCTGAGTCTGAGTCTGTCTGTCCTCTGTCCGTCGGGGGTGAGTGTGCTCTTAGCACGGACGTCCTTGAGGACAGGCACGAGGACCTTGAGTGTCTTGCAGCCGCTGCGCCTCATCTCGTGGCCATGCTGCTTGCCCCTAAGGGAGACCCGGATGCTATAGACATCCCCACACCGCGCTCTTACGCTGAGGCGATCGCGGGTGAGTACTTCTCTCAGTGGTAGGCAGCCATGGACGCAGAGATGGCATCCTGGAAGTCCACAGGCACTTACGTCGATGAGGTTCCCCCTCCCGGGGCGAACATCGTCGATGGCATGTGGATTTTCAGGGTGAAGCGGCCGCCAGGTTCTCCGCCTGTCTTCAAGGCTCGTTACGTTACTCGAGCCTTCAGCCAGCGAGAGGGAGTTGACTTCTTCCAGACCTTCTCCCCCACCCCGAAGATGACCACTCTTCGGGTTCTGCTGCACGTTGCCGCTCAGCGTGACTACAAGCTTCACTCTCTTGACTTCAGCACAGCTTTCCTACAGGGCAGCCTGCACGAGGAGATCTGGCTGCGCCGCCCACCTGGCTTCACTGGGTCGTTCCCTCCTGGTACCCAGTGGAGCCTCCGCCGGCCAGTCTACGGTCTCCGCTAGGCACCACGTGAGTGGCACGACACACTGAGGACTACGCTTGCGGCTCTTGGGTTTGCGCCTTCGACTGCTGACCTGTCGCTGTTTCTACGCACCGACACTTCGCTGCCGCCGTTCTATATCCTCGTGTACGTCGACGACTTGGTCTTTGCCACTGCTGACACTGAGGCCCTCGCCCTGGTGAAGTCCGAGCTGCAGAAGAGACACACGTGCACAAACCTGGGTGAGCTGCGCAGCTACCTTGGCTTGCAGATCACCCGGAACAGAGCACGCCGCACCATCACACTGACTCAGTCACACATGGTGCAGCAGGTCCTTCAGCGCTTCGGCTTCACCTGGTCCTCGCCACAGTCCACTCCTCTGGCTACAGGTCACTCGCTCTCAGCTCCACCTTCGGACGAGTCCGTAGAGCCGAGTGGTCCTTACCCAGAGCTAGTAGGCTGCCTCATGTACCTGATGACTTGCACTCGTCCTGACCTTGCGTACCCTCTTGGCCTTCTGGCTCGCTACGTGGCTCCTGGTCGGCACCGAAAGGTGCACTGGGATGCCGCGAAGAGGGTACTGCGCTACTTGTGCAGTACATCGGGCATGGGGCTCGTGCTTGGAGGACGGCGAGAGGTGGTCCTCACTGGGCACTCAGACGCTTCTTGGGTTGACGACCAGGCTACGCAGCG